AAACACATGAAAAGATGCTCAACATCACTCATTATCAGAGAAATGCAAATCAAAACCACAATGAGGTACCATTATACGCCAGTCAGGATGGCTGCTATCCAAAAGGATGAGCTTTCTATCTTTGCCACCTCATAGAGTGTTATGAGTGATGTGTATTACATTCTGGTTTTATGCTTATTAAATTATAAATTTTTTCTAGTACTTTTGTGGCAGGGTTTTCTGGATTGGAGAAGTTTTTTTGTGTACTTAATTTATTTTCCCACCACCGTCACCAATCTGTTGCAATACTACTGGTTCACTATCATTTAGAGGAATAATGAACAGTGAAAAAGACCAAGAGTGTTAGGGAAAAAAAATTGTATAGCAGTGAAATAGGAAACAAGTATTCTTTTACCATCAAAGTCTTAAGGATTTAAAGATATCACATTCATAAAGTGAGATGATCACCACCTGTGTGAGTGAAAAATTATCACTCACTATTTTCTTTAATAAGGATGAAGTTCCTAGCCACTGCAGTCAATGAACTTAAAAATCATCCTGAAGTATATATAGGGCAGATATCAAGAATGAGGCACTCTGTGCTTTGGGAAAAACTGACAAATCAGGTCTTTACATAGTTAGATATTTTCAGAAAATTTTCTGAGCCATTTTTTTTTTTTTTGCATCTTCTCATATCTAGAAAAGCATTAAAATCATTTAGCAAAGCTTATTATTTTAAGCTAAAGACAAAAGAAGATACTGGAGTGTGGAGGAGCCACTAATGGGAGCAGTAAAATCCCAGTAAGTAGGGTAAGGTGGTTAATCAGATTTGCTTTTTCTATTGTTAGAGTCTCTAGATGTGTAGTCATCCTCTTCTTGTACAGAGAGGGAGATGCCTTTACAAATGGAATTTCTCATATAAATACAAATGTCTCTAAAAGAATGTCTACCTAGTTTTCAGAGATTATCCTGTGTCTGCTGTTTCTTAAAAAAATAGCCAGTTCAGGATAACCCTTATGTCCAAATACTCCAAAAAAGGTATTTAGGGGATAGCAAATTGTTTCCCTTCTTGCCAAAAAGATTAACTTTGATTCTTATTTCTCTTATTATTTCTACTGCTACTTTCACATCTTTTAAAATACTAAAATCACTATGCACAGTTTTAAAGAGTGACATGGATATGTTTAAAGAGTTCCCCAAAGCCTCAGAATCTTAAAAATTTTATAGTAACATTTCAATCTAGAAATATGATTAGATATTTCAACATTGTGTTTTAGCCTATATGTAAATGTTAATTTTCTAAGTTATTGTTTTATCATAGATTTTAGTAGATTACTTAAATGTTTTATTTTCTAAATATATTTTTTTGTTTTCTTCAAGCTATACATAAAATAATTAATAATTTAACTTCCTTAGACATTTTTAGCTGATTTCACTAATGCTTCTAGTCTTATTTGGTCTTTGTTGCAGTATCTACCCAGGAGAAACATACAAATATTATTTTTTATTACATTCAAACTGTAAATTTGTGTTATATTGGATTTTAATGTGTGACATTAAAAATTTCAGTACTACCATGTATGGACACTAGGATGTGCTTGCATGTTTTATAAATAATTTTGAACTATAGTTAACCCTTGAACAACATGAATTCTAACAGCATGGGTTAACTTGTATATGGATATTTTTTCAATAAATACAGTACTACACAGTCTGAGGTTGGTGGGACCCACGAATGTGAATCATGACTATGGGTCTTGAGCATCTACAGACTATGATACCCAGGGCAGGTCTTTGGCCAATGCCCCATGGATAGAGTGGGACAATTGTATATTATATATTCCTAGTATCATTAATAGTAATCATTAACATTGAAAATATTTGAAGATTACCACAGATTCCCTGGTGGTCCAGTGGTTAGGACTCTGTACTTTCACTACAGGGGTTGCAGTTTTGATCCCTCGCCTGTGGAAATAAGATCTCACATGATATGTGGTAGGACAAGGAAAATTAAAAAAAAAAGATATACTATATTTGAAGATTAAATAGAATTACTTATAAAAATAAGTTATGCTTCAGAGACATTAATGTTATAAAAATCATGAATAGTATATTAGAAAAAACTAGCCACGTTGATAATATTTTCTATTAACATGCTTCTTTTCTCTAGGTATACCTCATTAATTAAACAGCCAAATAGTAAATCCTGTCTTTAGCAGAAATTTCACCCCAAAGTAGGGTCTTTAGCATAGCTGAATTAGTTGAATTACCAGTTGACAAAGTTAAGTTTCAAGAATCCTGGATTGGAGTCATAGCAGGGTAGGTGGTAGATCCTGAAACTCATTTAGCATGTAACCTTGGTGGACAATATATTTTCAGTAAATGACACAATAATATCCATTCTTCCTATGTCATATAAGCTTTGAGTTTATTCCCCAAACTGCTCTTCAATTTCCTTGAATGGTAAATTGGATGTGTACACTCATACACACAAGCATTAGCAAGCTAATATATTTTGCATATAGAAACTATTTGGTTAGATACAACAAATTTATTTGGTGGAATATTTCTCTTAGGGAAAAAATTATTTGTAAAAACATTGATAAATGTATTAACCAAGTTTTAAATATGACTGCCACAAACTTTTAATGGTTGAAAAATAGATATACACCATTTTACTTCCCCCTCTATTCTTTAACATTTCAAGTATAAGTTGTCCCCTCCAGTTAGCTGATATTATCCACACGCTCTATGTATTGAAGAGAATACATAGGCAAAAAAAATCCTAAACTTCACAATTTGAAATGGCTAAAATATGCATTTCATGCTATACATCTTTTAACTACAATTAGAAATCACTGATACTTTCTTAACATCTTGTATTTATAATTGTGTTATTTTCTGAAATAAAATGTGACTGATAACATTTGATCACATATACACATTGGAAAACATTGGATTTCCTATTATTTCCTTTACATAAACTATCAATATTTTCTTTGGCTTCTAGGTTTCTGGTATTTTTCCACTACCCAACAATAACACTCAATTACATGTTTTACACTGACTCAAAATGAGGGAATTTCTTTCTATTGATAGTTCCTGCATGATTATCAACACTTTCATTATGGGATATGAATTTTCTAAGCATTATTGCTAACTGTCTCAAGCAAGTAATCACGCACACACAAAAAAGTCAGTAGAGATTGCACTTTGTGTCAGCATAGTATTTAGGAGGAAATAAGCTTATTTTGATGAAAATATATACTCCTTGATTTATGAGAGGTCAAGCAACAAAACTTGCCTATTTTTGCCGAATAACTTGTCAAGTTTTTTATTCTGTTCTGAATTAAAATTTATTGAAAAAAGATACACTGATAAAAGCAAATTTTTTATTATTTATTAATTATATTTAACATTTACCTGGATCTATTGAAGACATTGTATAACATTTCCACTATATGCTTTAAACTATTACAAACATTTGGCATAAAATAATGTGCTTATCAATGTAGCAAGTTTGAAAAGTAGGGAATGAGGGTCTGAAGTCTGCCCTCCTTCTGACAATGGTCATTAACACTGCAAATGAATGTACATAGATTTCTCCCTCAAAATTCTAAGATATTTTATGAACAAAATTCTAAAGTACTTCAACATGCAATGGATATATATACATATATATATATATGGATATATATATATATATATATATACACATAAAACATTCAGAATAACTGGTTTCCATGCTTACACTGAACTCATCATAAGGCAAAAGCCTTTAATTGTATTGATTCTCAGTGTGATCAAAAAGCAAAGCATTATGGTAAGCTTAATGAAAACAATCCTTTGTGTTTGCCAACTTCCAATTGCTAATACAGTTGCAATAAAATTGAACCATCCTCCTGGATGATATATGCAGCTTTGATTTGTTTTCTGAGTGCAAGAGGCAAGCATGAATCTGTTTCTCTAATTGTCCTCAAAGTTTAGGAAAATTTGGAAAAAGCATGTTTGTTTAATAAAGTATCATTCCACCTCCTGGTATGACCACATCTGATTAGGAAATTAGGGCAGAATCAATCAGATTCTGTCACATGAAATATCATGTCTTCTACTCTTGAAATCCTCTGGAATATCGTCACAGATGATAGAACACTGAATAAGCTTTAGTCATGAAATTATCCATGTCACAAATCTTTATCCCTCCTTTGAATTGCCCAAGAAAAACGAGCCTTTGGTAACTCTAGTTATTGTATGCTACAAAACAAAACAAATTACCAATAACCATTCCTGAACTAACATACGACCAGATAGTGTTCCCACAGCAGTTTGATGTCCTCTTGTTTCCCATAATTCTGTTTCATCTTCTACCTCTTTTGATCTCAGTAGGTAAATCTACCAAAATCTTTTTTCTTGAAGAATTTGCATCTCCAGAAGTTCTCATTCTTGCCCTCTGATACAAAAATAACCACTCCAGCAGATAGAATCTCTCCAAAAATATAAGTCAAGGTTGCTTGATGACCACTACACAGGCACCGGCTCTCCCAATATTCAAGGAAGCCATCTGTTGAAAAAAGGAGTATATTTTAGGTGAAATAGTAGCTTCAATATTGAAGTCACTGGGAAGTCATTTCCAAAGATATTATACTGAATAAAATGTGCTATGAATTCATTCTAAACAGAGACATTTAATGATGTGATTTCAATATGCTGTCATCAATAGAACATAATTACAGCTGCTACACAGGGCCTATTTTAAAATCCATATTATGAGCATTATTGTTATTGATTAGAACTGAGATTTTTTTTTTTTTTAGAACTGAGATTTTTAAAAATTAATCCTGAATACGAAATTGGCTAGAAATATATTGAAAACAATAATTTTAAAGAATTTATAATGAAAATCTATTCCACGGAGGTAAGCTAAGAATTTAATAATTTGAACTTTTTCAGGTCACTGATTTTTAGATACAGTTTCCCAAGAATAATTCATTCACATAAAAATATCAGGTAGGCTAGAAATTACAGGATATTATTTCAAACTGAAAATAAAATGAATCAAGTGTAGCAAATGAAGTAGCAGAGAGCAAAATAACTTCAGATCACACACACTATCTTATTGATTGAGAAAGGACACTATCTCACCCTCTACATATGAAAATTACCACCATTATCTAATTATACATTAGTTCTTTTAATTGTGCTTATTGTCACCTGCTATCTTTCTATAGGTTAAAACCGAAATAGAAAATCTTCCCATATCATTTTTTGTACCTTTCATTTAATACAATATCTTTTTTAAAAAGGTTAACATTATATCTCTTTTTTTCACAGATATTTGCTCAAAGTGAAAGGCAAAAAGGAGCATGTGATATATTGATAGCATATTGTGTATTAAGAATAATTTTTGTTGATCACCACAGTCACTTTTATAATCCCATCATATGTTGTCATCTCTATATTACAGTGAATGGAGTATGAAGAGATATAAATCTGGTAACATTTAGGTCTACAATTTGCAATATTTCTGACTCAAATTGCACAGTTTGCATTGTCTCTCTTTTAGTTTCCAATGATTTTCAAGTGTTGTTTCATGTCAGAGCCATCTAAGGAGCTTTTACAAAATACAAGTACTCAAGGCCCACCATCCAATACGAATGACATAAGTTCTGAGTAGGATTTTTGAAGCATTCCCCAGATGCTCTCTGATGTTCATTCAGCACTGAAAAGTACTATGCATAGTTCCAGATGAAGTATACCTCTATCTACATTTGCATCTATGTCTCTATACATGCTTATATTTGCATGTAAAAATGAATCTCTGCACCCCCCCCACTGCCCCAAGTTTACTGTTCTTTCTATTATTTCTTTTATCCTTCTACTCAATTACTCAAGACAGGAACCTAAAGAATATCTACAGCCCTTAGTTTCATTTCCCTCACCCTTACAGCTGAATAACATCAAGTCTTATAATTATCTCTCCTACCAACTGAATTACACCATTCCTACTATCTGCAAAAAGTTCAGGTTACAATTTCACCCTAAGTGTGAAAGGGGAGTAAAATAACCCACTCCAGGATATGCCATTTTGGCACGTTGATTATTTTGAATTAAAGATACTTGAGTGATACTTCATGCAGAAGGGGCACTGTGACCCTCCTTTGACCCCTTAAAGGAGGAGATAAATGTTTCATGTGAAATGGTACCCTCTCTCTACTAGAAGCATAAAAGCCATCCTTATCACCAGGCATAAGGAATTTAGGGCCAAGAAGGCTGTGTCAGAAAACCTTGTAACTTCTTCACTAATTTACTACCTAATCCCAAACCACTTTGTCTTCTAAATTCTTTATGTATTTATTGTTTCTTTGTCTAAAACAGTATAAGAGCTTCCTGCTTTTGGTCACTTCTTTGAGTCCATATGGGGTTTCCATATATATAAAATTAAGTTTGTTTTTTTTTCCTATTAATTTGTCTTATGTCAATTTAATTTTTAGATTAGCAAATAAATAAATAAATTGAAGGAAAGAAGAAAAAAATTCCCACCAATACTTCACAGTGAATTAGTGAAGTATATCCTAATAAATTTCTGATCTTTCTTTCCCCTAATCAATTTTCCCATCCTATCAAGTGCAGTTATTTTAAAATACAATTCTGAGGATTTGCTTTCCCTGCCTAAAGTCCTTCATTAACTATTCTTTTGGTCCATGGTAAAGTCAAGATTCTATAACATGGTTTCTCACCTTATATCATAAAGACCCATTTTATCTCTCCAAACTTATTCCTCATCACTTTATTTCTTGCTCAATGAAGCATGCCATGTGTTCTCTTTCCCATGACTCTTTAAAAATTCTGTTTCTTAAACCAAACCATTCCCCATATTTTTATCTGTTTAACTATTATTTATTTGCCATTCCACATTCTATTTACATAATTTCCCAAAAGAAGATTTCTCTACCCAACACACTTAAGTTCTAGCATAGTGTTAAGTATTTCCCTTACCCCAGCATTTATCATTCTATTTTAAGCGTTTGATATATTGTACATAGGTACATTTTAAATATTTGAGTGTTTTCCCTCTCTTTCCCTTGGTTCAGTTTTATCTTATTTAATACATAGTTTGACTATCTGCCCTTTTCCCTCTCCAGAATTATACCTTTCACTAAACTACAATAATCTAAAACGGTTGGCATGATACCAATTATTAAACAGCAATCCAAATGTAAATGTCTTACCAGGCTTCCCTGAAACTCATTCTAAATATCTTACAGATTGATTTTATGCAAATGAACTAAACCTATGTACAACAGAGTAAACTGAGTTGCAAAAATAATTCACAATTTATTCACTTAAGAAAGTTTCACACATCTCTTACCCATGCTAGCAACTATGCCAGTCTTTGGATATATGACTGTAAATGACATATTGTATTTGTTTTTTTTTTTTTTTTTAGCTGCAGGTAGATGCAGCATGACAGCACTGTGACCATGTACCAAAGAAACACTTGAAAGGATGATTTTACTCAGGCTAGAGGAAACAAAATTAAAATTTTCTTTCTATGCTTTAAAGCACACATATTTTGTTCCAAGTCAAATGCAAAAAATATAAATTAAGTGACAAAATAAATTTTTTTTAAAACACAAATACACACACTCATGCAAGCATGTACGTGTGTGTTCTGTATGTAACCATGTAAGACATGTATCTGGCAAATATTCCCTCATCTGTTTTCATTATTTCCAATTATAGCTAGTTTGGGAAGTTTTTCAAATATACATCATTATATATTTCAATATAATTTGCTTATTTATTCTAATGTTTGCCCATTTGATGGTGTCAAAAACAAGTGAAATAACCAATTGATTTTGTCTATCTGTGGAGTAAGTGAAGGGAAAGTGACAGGCAATATACAGCAAATATGAGAACTTTCTCTAGTAGCGTGGAATCCTGAAAATTTTCCAAAGTGTTTTTGTGTGGGTTTCCTGATGGCCTCTTGCAAGTCTTAAAAATATAAAGAATGAAAAGATAGGGATGTAAGATCTTAATTTAGGAATTTTAAAATTAATGTCTATTATACTAAAATAAGTTTGTTCTAAAACATTTAAATACTACTTTGCTATTTGTAAGATACTACATGATCCAAAACAGTATAATAAAACGTAGATGAGGGAAAATGGCTGTTGGAAGTTTCTACCCATTAATAGTACATGCATTATTCTGACTTCAATTTTAGAGGAATGATAAGCATAATGGCTCACTACTATAAATATGTAATGAAAATATTATATCATTTATATGCCCATAAGCCTCCTTTATTTAATATTCATTTGTAAAAGCAGTTCACTTAAGGTATGTAACATTGAATTTGTACTTCCTTAGCAAATCAAAAATAATCCATGCATTGCTCCCTTTGTAAAACTAGGAACTTGGGAATGTAAGGAGTTAAAATATACCTTCTAAACTCTCAGTGCAATTATTATAGCTTATTATATGTTTTCTTCTCCCTGGCTAAGGAACACTATTTTTTCACAATTAAAGTTAAACACAGAAAACCACAGAACCTAGTTCTCCAAATTTACACTGGTCTTTCCTCCATTCTACCTGTTTTCTTCCTCCTTTGTCAAATACATCTGTCTTCATTGAAATCAAAGAATTTCCCCTTTGAGAGTCATAAGGCAGATACTTTAGCCTGACCATGATGAGTTTGATTTTGTACTTCCAACTCAGTCTATTTAATACTGTAGTTGAACACATATCATCAAAGGAAGTTATGTATCTTTAAAAGTAAGAATTTCTTTTAGAAATTTACTTCAATCAATGTTCAAGTTCTTCATATAAATTTTAGTCAATTTCTATGACCAAAAATAAAGCCCTCTATACATTAAGGAATATGAGGAGACAATGTTACTATTCTGCTTCAACTAAGTAAGACTCTGGAATTTAAATGTACCAATTGGTGGGAAAAAAAATTTTTTTTTAACTGTTTCTTGATTTTTACTTTCTGACAAAGCAGAGAAGTAAGAAATATTGAGAGATTTGAAAAAAAAAAGTTAAAACAAATTGAATATTAAAACATAAGTCTGAAAACATATCCGTTCCCTTCATTACAAGCAAGTCTATAGTAACTGTAAGCTTAAGGTATTTTCCACCATAATTAAGGTGTCCTACCCTTATGTTTCCCCAGTGATCACACACACCCCAACACATATTCTCCAGATATTTGACTGGATTGGAAGCTTCTCTGAACATGATCCTGAATCTCTAATTGCTGTGTATAGTTGAAGGTTAACCTAAGATCAGCCAATTATTTTTCTCCATCTTCTTGACCAAAGTGTTCAGCCAGGGATGAATACATTATGCAACAGATGATTCAGGCCTCTTTGCTATTTGTTCTGGGGAGCTTTTTGAAAAAAGTTCTTTTGTTTTATGAGTATGGCTGTGAAGAGCTCCATTTGGAGTTTCCAGCAGCACCATCCCATGGGATATTCTTTCTGCCATAGGTAGCAAGGAACTTAGCAAACATAGTCAAACAAAAAAAGGGAAGCAGAAAGCTAATTTCTACAAGCTTCTATTCAATTGATTTTGTTATCTCTATAACCAAGCAAAGTTAAATGTTTGTAAACAAATATGTTCCACTTTTATTTTTTGTTTCAGTTGATTAAAATTCAGTCCCTGTCCCTTGGCATGACTTATAATAAAATGGAAATCCCACTGAAGCATAAATTTCACTTTCTAAATTTTATTGAAGTATAGAATACACAATAGAAAAGTACACAAAAGTTTATGATTTCATAAACTTTTTACAAAATGAACATGAAAATGAACAAAAATCAGTCACTTTGAGTTCAGAGTAATTCAATTAAATACATGGTTGTATGCACATATCTCCTCCACAGGAAGTAAATGAAAAAAAATATTCTTATATGTGAAGTGACTTATGCTTGCAATGGTCTTACCTGGGTCCATTCATTAGTTTGTGGATCGTAGGATTCCATAGTGTTGAGGTATGTCTGGCCATCATAGCCACCAACAGCATATAATCTGTCACCAAGAAGACAGACTCCAACAGCATCTCTGGGCATACTCAAAGGAGCCACCATAGTCCATGTGTCTGTTTTGGGATCATACCTAAAATAAAAGGATGATAGGATATAACATATTCAATCACATTCAACTTTACTATTAGGTATTAATGATGCTCTTTCAAAACAAGCCATGGAAAAGAAAACTTAGCTTTTTTCCTAAAAACTCAATTATTTAAACAGATATTCCAGAGCCAATATTCACAAAGTCAGTCTTTCTATTGTTTAAGGTATTTTAAAAATATAGCTAGACTGATAACTATATGGATGCAGAGTCATTTCACAAAAGTGAATATCATTATTTTTCCCAAGAAATACAGATATGAAAATAAATATTTTTTACAGTGGAATGAGGCTCTTTCAAGAAAGTACTAACAAAGTGCTATGGTCATGAAACAGAAGTAATGGCTAAAACTCTGGGAGAATTAAAAAATAATTCACTTTTGAAATCTTCTTTAAATAAGGTCTGAAAGTCTATCCTAAATTTGCTAGAAAAAAAAGAGGATATTTGCACAAAAGAACACAAGTGATAAAAAAAAAAAAGTGCATGGACCTAGTTTTTGAGAAAACTAGGTGTGCAGTGTGTTTAGAATCAAAGGTATAAGAAGAAGCATTGTTTAAAAGGTGATATTTGATCCGCTAATAGATTACTTGATTCCCAGAGTATGAAAGTATTTCATGTTTCTTCAATAGGAAAATAAGAAAACTTGAAACTTGAGGAAATAATTACAACATGAACAAAACTATGTTTCTGTGACAGTCACTTGGAATTCACTTGAAGGGAGAAATTGGTAAATCAAGAGATTGAAGCAGAGGGTCCAAGTTATTATTTTTTAATTTTAACCAAATATTAAATTTGCAGAAAGTCTGATTACCATACATTAAACGCAAATATTGTATAGGTTGGGTGGTAAAACCACAAAGAATTCCTTGGTTAAGGTGCTTTGCTTCAGTTTAGAAGGAGTGGTTTAACCACTTCTTTGCTTTTAACCTACAATTATAGGTTCAGATACAAAAACATCTAGTAAGAACCCAGTAGAGTAAGTAAATGTAAAAGAAGAATGGATGGAAGTTTTTTTTTTTATTATTTTTTATAATATTTTTACAAACATAAAATATATATGTAAATATATTCCGTTTGTTTTTCTACTCCCATCTTGCTTTGAAATTTTCAACCTACAGATCCCCTAAACAGACAAACAAAAGAAACAAACACAAACAAGCAAAAAAAAAAAAACCACTAAAAACCAAAAACCTATACTTTATTGAAAATAAAAGAAGGTTGTTACAAGAGAAATGACTGGGAAGACCCCACGGATCTGGACTTTATATTTCACAGATAATATTTCACCCAGGACATTACAAGAATTTACACACCATGGTTGGAGAAATTATGACAGCCAAGGTAATATATGTGAAATGAGAGATTGGTTGAATGCCTGCCAAACCAGAACCATGTTAAAGCATAGGCTGTCAGGCAAATAACAAAAGTAATTTTGCATGTTAGAGTTAATAAATGTAAAATGTCACAAATAGACACAGGTACACATAGACACAAATGCAAATATGCAATCTATGCCAGCAAAATCTTTAAAATATTTACGTTTCTACTATGAATGTTTTGAAATATATAAACATAAAAAAAAGAGGAAAAAAAGGGAAAACTCCAAGAGGAATCAAATTGTACAGTCCACAAAGTAAAACATTTTACAGATAACTTGACAATTTTTTAAGAAAAAAAAGTGATAAAATGAATAACTAGAAAGAAGTAGCTGTTATAAACTATATGTGGCTTTAAAATGCAACAAAATAAACTGAGTGAAACTTACTTGGATTCCAATTTACAGAACAACTATTAAAAGATGCTTAAGACATTTTGGAAATTTTAATTCTGGCTATCAGATTGTAATAAGAGATTATTTAAATTTGTATTAATTATAATAATGACATTGAAATTAAGCTGCAAAAGTAAAGTTGTGATCATATTTCATTGTTTCTGGGATGAATTCAGAAATGCTTTGAGCTAAAGTGATATGTTTAAGAAGTACTTTAAAATACTTCAGGGAAAAAATACTGTAAAGGTGAAAGGATGAAGCAAAAATGGCAAATCGGTGATGGTGGTTGAAGCTGGATAACAAATACAAGTAAGTTTTATCTTGTTTACTTTTTGCCAGGAAGTTTTTTTAGTTAAGATAACCTTAAAAGGAAGAATGTATAATATACCTTAATTTCAGTGAAATGTGAACATCTTTTATATTTTATTTTTCTTGAATAGAAGCAAATCTGCCTTTTGTCACAATAGCTTCACTTAAATAACTTTCTCTGAAATCCTATTTCAGTCCCCATATGATTGTTATTCAGCTCTATAGGATTTTTTTTTCCAACTACTATCTACACAGCAGACTTTGTCAATCACTTTTGAGAAAGGGAGAAAAACTGAGACAAAATCTAACACTAATTGTACTAAGGAATAATAAATGCATTTCTGAAGGCTTCTGAAATTTTAAGTAAAGCTCAAATAATGAAGACATTCTCATACACTAATAANTTATGGCAGAAAATGAAGAAGAACTAATGAGACTTTTGAGGAAAGTGAAAGAGGAGAGTGGAAAATTTGGCTTAAAACTCAACTTTCAGAAAACCAAGATTATGGCATCTGGTCCTGTCACTTCATGGCAAATATATGGGAAAACAGCAGAAACAGTAACAGACTTTATTTTTTTGGAGCTCCAAAATCACTGCAGATAGTGACTAGAGCCATGAAATTAAAGGACACTTTCTCCTCGAAAGAAAAGTTATGACCAACCTAAATAGCATATTAAAAAGCGGAGACATTACTTTGCCAACAAAGGTCTATCTAGTCAAATATATGATTTTTCCAGTAGTCATATATGACTGTGAGAGTTGGACTATAAAGAAAGCTGAGCACTGAAGAATTGATGATTTTGAACTGTGGGGTTGGAGAAGACTCTTGAGAGTCCCTTGGACTGCAAGGAGATCCAACCAATCCATCCTAAAGGAAATCAGTCCTGAATATTCATTGGAAAGCCTGATGTTGAAACTGAAACTGCAATACTTTGGCCACCTGATGTAAAGAACTGACTCATTTGAAAAGATCCTGATGCTAGGAAATATTGATGGTGGGAGGAGAAGGGGATGACAGAGGATGAGGTGGTTGGATGGCATCACTGACTCCATGGACATGAGTTTAAATAAGCTCCAGAAGTTGGTGATGAACAGGGAGGTTTGGTGTGCTGCAGTCCATGGGGTTGCAAAGAGTTGGACACGACTGAGTTACTGAACTGAACTCAAGTGAATGGAAATGAGTACATCTTATATTTAGGTAAAATTTATAAATAATGTCCTATGCTTAGAAATAGACATCATTCTTTTCTTATTTTAAAAAATTTCTGAGGAAAATTTAACATATTTAGTGCATTCTTCTGGAAGATTCAGATGTTTAAATTAGGTATATCTGTTTTCAGGGATTGGTAAGTGTTCAATAGCAATCTTTTCATTTGCATCAGGCAATTGTGATGGTATTTAAACATATAGAGCTGGAAAATCAAACCAGGTCAGGACAAAAACTGAGTCCTAACACTACTGCCTCTGACATACTTTTTCTTTCCACTAGATATTTATGAAGTATCACACAAATTTAAAATTAGTCAATAATGTTTATCATTGTTTTCACATTAATTAATCAAAATTGATTTTTCTGTTTATAGAAGCCCATGGATCCACCTCTCAGCCTGGTGATACACATAATTGTTGCCCTTCAAAAGGAAAAACAAAACAAAACAAAACAGCCTTCGTTAGCGTAGGAGAAGACCCACAGATGTATAAGCACTTTCTGACTATAATGAACAGTGAACTCTATTTTTATCAGTTCATATTTTTGACAAAATTTTCTTTTAAGCATTTTTGTTTTTTTGCCTCAGGTTGCCTGTTTATAGAAAAGAAAAAAAAAAAGCAAGCAGGGGAACTGTCTTTATGTGTTTAGCTGTCTGCCTTTCCTACATCTCACCTTGGCCTTCATGGTCAGAATGTGAGTTTTGTATTAGGGACTCTATTAAAGTTTATAGCCCAAAGGCAAGAGATACATCAGTATATAGTGGCTAAAATTGGCTGTAAAATGAAAACTTGCTGAAGGCATATGATAGCCGCAGAAAAAAAAGTTAGTTTCTCATTGAAAAGCCCTATTGAAAAATTTGAGATATCATTACTTTTTCAAGCATTGTTACTACATAACTTGAAGATAAAAATATATCATATGCTTAATGGGCAATGCAATTAAATGTCTGCTCCCTATTTCAATATTTTTTGCTTATTTTTATACAAAAATATTTTTTTAAAGTTAAATTGATTTCAACTTTTCAATGAAGGTGTAAGAAAAAATCTGTTTTGATTTAGGGCATATTCTCAAATAGAAAAGAATCTGCCTGCAGTACAGGAGAGGTAGGTTTGATCCGTGGGTAGGGAAGATACCCTGTAAAAGGGACTGGTTACCCATTCCAGTATTCTTGCTTGGAGATTTCCATGGGGAGCCTGGTGAGCTGCAGTCTACATGGTTGCAAAGAGTCAGACATGACCAAGTGACTAACATTTTAACTTTCACCTTTATATTCCACTACATCTACTCTTCAAGGTTGTTGTGATTCAGTCACTCAGTCCTGTCTGACTCTTTGCCAACCCCATGGGCGGTGGCATGCCAGGCTTCCTTGTCCTTTACTATCTCCTGGAATTTGCTCAAACTCATGTCTAATGAGTTGATGATGCCATCCAAACATCTTATCTTCTGCTGCCCAGTTCACCTTCTGCCCTCAATATTATCCAGCATCAGGGTCTTTTCCAGTGAGTCAGCTCTTCATATCAGGTAGCCAAATTATTGGAGCTTCAGGTTCAGCATCAGTCCAGCCAATGAGTATTCATGATTGACTCCCTTAAGATTGACTGATTTGATCTCCTTGCTGTCCAAGAGGTTCTCAAGAGAGCACCACAGTTTGAAAGCATCAATTCTTCTGTGCTCAGCCTCCGTTTTTGTTT